CTTTTCTTCTCCCTTTACTTTTATCCTTTTACTTCTGGTGGATAGAAATCTCTTTAATTACTTGTGCATCTCTCTCTCTCTCATTGTCAGAGTCAGAACTGATTCACAGCTGACCCTCCAGTGGATCTTCAGAGGCTGTAAACTCCCACAGAGTTGCTGGTAGATTCAAACTGTTTGAAAGGCACGACCTGAGGTTAGCAGCTGGTGGATTGGAACTACTTGCTTTTGGGTTGGTAGCATAATTCCCTACTCACTAGGCCACCAAAAAGCAAGATTTTAATCAAACTCCATTTTCAGTTAATTAGCATTCCAGGGTTGCTCCTCTGCTCTGCCTTAATAAGCACCTTGTCAAGGCTGTGAACTTAAAAAAACAAAACAAAACGCTTCTCTAGTTTTGTAATTTTTTGAGTCTAGTATCTTAAGGTGCTGATAATGGCTGTAAATCTACAACCAATTTCTATTAGAAGTTTGCACTATGATTCAAACATCCTCTATTAATCCCCCCTTGATATAACACCATAGCATACTCCTTCAGGAAATAATGCACTCTCTGCACTAAACTTTTCTAAGAAAGTAGGGATTTATGGCTGTTGCAGTGATTTAGACCACATGGTCTCTAGAGTACTATTCATAACTTCCATCAACTCCTGCTTACATAATTACTACATCAATGATTCTTTCAAATTAGGCTTTTTAGTACCCAAATTATATGTAATTTTTTTATGCCAATTTAAAGACTAAGGTGTACCTTATCCAATCCAGGGTATTTTCAATTCTTTCCTTCCTACCCATGTGAAAATTGGATAATGAATATGAATGACAGAAGAATAATTAAGGGCTTTGAATTATGGTGTTGGAAAAGAATACTAATATCCTATGGACTGCCAAAAGAACAAACAGGTATGTCTTGGAGAATGTGCATCTAATGTGCCTTTAGAGGCAAAGAGTGAAAGTTCATCTCATATACTTTGTGCATGTTGTCAAGAGAAACCAGTCCTTGGAAAAAGACATCACACTGGGAAAGGTGGAGGGCAAGAGAATGAGGTAAAGACCTCAACAAGATGGTATGATATTGTGACTGGTAATAGCGGGTTTGAGCATATCAGAGATGGTTAGGATGCCTCAAGATAAGGCAAGGTTCAGATCTGCTATTCCTAGGGCCACTATGAGTTGTAGTTAACTTGATGGTACATAGCAACAACACTCTATGTGTTTTTGTATGTGACAAAACTTAGAAAATTGTTGCTCAACTGAAAGTCTGAAATGTGGACAACAGTTTTAATGTATCTTTTCCCACTGTTTAAATAGCACAAGCCTGAAACTTCAACCATTACAATTATACTTCTTTGATTTCTTTTCAACAAGTGGGAAATAAAGGTTTATTTCTAAAGCCAGTAAAAAATGTACCTTCTAAATTAAATTTATCTCTCATTAACGGCTGACTAGGTAAAACAGGTAATAGCTCTAAGAAATTTCTGAACTTTATGGCTAGGTCACCCAGGGGACTCAGAATGGAGTACCAGCCAGAACCCTACTCACATAAAAGGCCAGAATGTCTTCTGGACAAACAGAAGGACTTAAAAAAATTCTTAACAAAAACTCAACATATATTAGTTACTGAACCTCTTGTCCCTGTCTTGTGTATTTTATGCATGAAAGGCCATTTAAAAATAGTGTGGTGGTTCTCCCTCAAGAGTTTTCTAAACTCTTATTTCAGGGACGTTTTCTGCCCCTATTCCCAGCTGGCCTTTCAGATGCAAAGCCAATATGCTCTCTTTTTGAGTCAGGTGTTGAGTTGCCAAGTCATGGAAAACAGCTCAGGCAGTGCATGACAAGGGTCCAGCGTGTTCATGTGTGCTCAGCCAAGGGCAGGGTCAGCAGCATCGATGGCTGCCCTGTGCAGTCTGCTTCCCGAGCTTGATTGCTCCAGCGCTTCCATTTTCATGGGGATCCAAGGGTGGGATCTGGTGACCTAAAACAGAAAGAAGGTCAAGGTTGAGTTCCTTTTCCCCTGTCAGTACTGCACAAACAAATTCTGACCCTGCTTGATTAACACTTGGGCTGTAGGGGAAGTGGAAGAACTAAGAAAGTGGCTCTATGTCCTCTCCCCAGCTCATCTTCCCTGTCTTCTCAGCTCTATTGCATCTTAGTTATGTTCAGGTTTCAAAAGTTGAGGAAAAATAAAAGCAGTTTCCTGGTACTGCTGGGTTCCTAGGACACAGGGCGCTTTGCTGCTCTCTGCAGAGTGCAGGTCCCACCAAGCTTTCCTACTGAAGCAGCATCTGCTTATTCTTGACTAGTCATTCTGTAGCTACATCTCAACTAGTGAGCTGCTTCCTAGTACTGTGGCATTGATAACAGTGAGTAGCCTTCTTTTCTGCTTCTTAAAATAGAAATGGGTTGAGAATTGCCATCTTCCTTCTAATGTTATTAACACTTGCTTCACCCTCATTCTGCCAAAGCACTTTTAATACTAACTGGAAAACACACAGATTACCTCTCACAGGAAACAACTATTTTAATATTATCCTCAAAGAAGCTTATTTTACTTAATTGAATGTAAGAAGGAAGCTACCGTAGAGTCTTTACAGATAAGTATATGTGAAGTAAATGACAACAGTGGGTGTGGGTGAAAGAGCACAGGAGTGAATGCTAAAGGGTACAAATTTCTGTTGTGAGGTGATGACAATGTTCTAGTATTGGTTATGGTTATTATTACACATTTGTAAATACACGGAAAGCAAAACAATAATCAAATCAAAAGCCACTAACCATTGAATGGTTTACGTGAACTGGATGAATTGCATAGTGTGGGAATGATCAAAACTCATCTGTCACTGAGCTGAATCCAACTTGTGGCAACTCCATATATAACAGAGTGAAGCTGCGATTTATCAGAGTGATGTGATATATAAGAGTGAAACTGTGTGCATTTCTGGACATAGACTGCCAATCCTTTTATCTAAGGCACCTCTGAGTAAATTCAGACTGCCACATTTTTTTTTTTTTTGCCACATTTTCAGCTAGTAGCCAAGTACAGTAACTGTTTGGCTGACTCAGGAAATCAATCCATGGCATGATAATTACCTTTCAATAAAGTAGCTTTAAAAAATGTAATAGATTTCTTTAAAAAGAAATATAATACAAACCCAGTAATTTCACTGCTAGGAATATATCCCAAAGAAATTAGAACTTAGACACAAATGAAGATATATACACTTAATGTTCATAGCAGCATCATTCACAACAGCATGAAAATGGAAACAGCTCAAATGCCCATCCACAAACAAATAGAAACTGTGGTACCTTGACACAATGGAATACTATGCAGCACCTAAGGAATGATTTTGTAAAATACCATATAACATGGGAGAGTCTAGAGAGCATTACACTGAGTGAAATAACTCAGTCTCGTAAGGACAAACAGTGCGTAAGACCGTTATTGTAAGGACAGAGGGATAACGGATATGTATGCATGTTCAAAAGGGGAAGGGGAAAGAGAGAGAAGGGAGTGGGAAAAGGGGAAGAGTGGAAACCACTAGGACAGAAGGGGTGAGTGGGTAGATGGAAGTGAAGGAATAGGAAAGATTCTGTGGGGACTTGAAAAAACAAGATGATAACAGGCATGAATCATTAATTATAAGACGCAAAAACCGCACGACATTCGTTCTGGCAGGCCACTCAGGGGTTAGTCATCTGACTAGCTGAAAGCTGGGCAGCTTAGAGGCCAGTCTCAGACCCCTCCCACCTCCCCAGGTAATGGAAGACACAAAAACCGCGCAACATTCGTTCAGGCAGGCCAATCAGAGGAGGGGTTACGCATCCGACTAGCTGAAAGTTGGGCAGCTTTGAGGCCCATCTCAGAACCCTGCCACCTCCCCAGGTAATCGAAGACACAAAAACCGCATGCAACATTCGTTCCAGCAGGCCGCTCAGAGGAGGGGTTAGGCATCCGACTACCTGAAAGCTGGGCAGCTTAGAGGCCAGTCTCAGACCCCTGCGAAGTTTAGGGCTGTTGTACATAGGGTCGCTATGAGTCGCAAGTGACTCGGCGGCACATAACAACAACAACAACAATAATATACATCAATGATTGTATAAACACAAAGTGCATGAAATACTATGTATATGAATGACTGTATGCAAATAAAAAACCAAACCAAACAAAAAGGTAACAGAATCTACAAATAACATTTTCTTTGGAGTTCACAGTTTTCATAACTTTTCAGACGCTTACCTTACTTAGCCCTCTGAAGCCCTGCCACAGCAATCATTATCACTATTTTTCTATGATCCAGAGGAATTAAGTAATCAAAGATAACTTAGATTGTGCTGACAGTAGGTTTTACAACACGTATCTTGATTGCGTGGTGGGCCCGAAGCCTATATTTCACACTCCACAGTATTAGCTTTATATTCTAATTTCCTGACCTCTACTGAAAAAGGCATAGAACACTATGCGTATTTTAAAAAAGGGCTTTAAAAAATCCAACAAAACAAAACAAAACACAAAGAACCTAAGCACAGTTGATAACTCTGATTTATAGTGTTGGTAGAGAGCACAGAGACCATACACTGCCAGGCAAAAAGACAAATGTGTCTTGGAAGTAATATAGCCAGTTATTAGGAACAAGGATAGTGAGACTTTGTCTCACATACTTTGGACATGTTGTCAGGAAGGACCAGTTCCTAGGGTAGAAAATCATGTAGAGGGTCAGTGTAAAGGAGAAAGCCCTTCAATGAGGCAGAATGAAAGAGAGGCTGCAACCATCCATAGACTGGGAGAGCAATGCTGTGTGGAATGTGCAGGCCCAAGCAGTGCTGCGCTCTTTCACACACAGGGTAGCTGAGAGTCCACATTAGCTCAACAGTACCTAACAAAAGCAGCAGAAACCAGTACACTGGTTTACCAAATAGCCAGATACTGTTGTTGTTATTGTGACATGTTGTCAAGGTGACTATGACTCATGGCAATCTTATGAATCTCTGAGCCTTACCCTATCCTGGGTCAACCTCACTGACTCTCACACAGTTGACCCCACTGCCACAGTCACTGTGTCAATCCATCTCATCCAGGGTCTTTTTCTCCTGAGCAGACTTTTCAAGCATGATGTCCTTCTCCAAAGACTGGTCCCTCCTGACAACATGCCCAAAGTGTCTGAGGTGGAGCTTTAAAAATTCTTGTCTACAGGGAGCAACTTGTTTCAGTCTCTCCAAGATGGACCTGTTTGTTCTCTTGGCTGTCCATGGTATGCTTAATGCTTTCCTCCAGCACCACAGATCAATGACATCAATTCTTCTATCACCTTTAGTCACTGAGCTCTCAGAGGGATAGCAAGCAATTGAGAAGCCCAGGGCATGGATCAGGTGCACCTTTGTCTCCAGACAGACATCACTGCAAGAGCACTGGAAGACTCTGGAGAGGTGCTTGACAGCAGATTTCCCCCAAGACAACTTGTCTTTTGATTTCCTGACTGTGGGTGTCAAAGGTGTTGATTATGTATCTAAGCAAGATGAAATTGTTAACAATATCAATCTTTTCCCCGTCAATCATGATGCTGTCAATTGGCCTGGTGGTCAAGATCTTTGTTTTCTTAGTGTTGAAATGCAATCCATATTGAAAGTTGTAGTCAAGGACTACAGCAAATATTTCTGCAGCAAATACTTCAAGTCCTCCTCAGTTTTGTTGAACAAGCTTGTGTCTTGTGCATAAAACAGACTGTTGATGAATCTTCATCCTATTCTTATGTCACAACAGTACAAGGGAAATGAATGACAAAGTCCTTCAGTAAAAGTAGCTTTTACCTAGGACCACAAAGAGAGTCAAGATATGGTGGCCAAGGTACATTTCCATGAGGGTAGCAATAGATGACGCCAAACGGTACAAGATGCAGATTAGTCAGTGGTCAAGTGGAAAGATTAAGGCCATTGGAATTACCCAAATTTTCACCTGATTGTGGAGTAAATGAAAAGACTAATAATTCTTGCAGTTACTGCTTCTGTCATTTTATATGATCAACAAATCCATACAAAGCTTTTATAAGCCAGTTTTAATACATTTTAGTCCTAACCCAGAAGCAAAAGAGAAAGCAGATATGAAGTTTTCTTATGTACATTATTTTTCAGAAATCACAGTTAAAAGTTAATAAACAAAATGCCTCAATTTTCCAGTGACAATTCAAACTCTATTCATTCAAGTTGGATCATGTCAATAGCTTCTCTAACTGCTCCAGAGGATATGATGCCTTTCAGTGGAATGACATCATAGTGTTTTATATTCTATTAAATGCCAAGTACCAGTTATTTAATATCTCTGCAGGAGCTCTGGTGGCCTAGAAGATAAGGAGTTGCACTGAAAACTCCAAGTAGGCAGTTCAAATCCACCTGTTGCTCTGTGGGAGAAAGGTGTCTCCTCTAATGTAATGCAGAGGTCTCTAAAAACCTGCTGGAAGATTACAGCTGAATTGGTTCTGACTTGACAACATATAACAACATCATCTTTGAGCTTTTTTTTTCACACCTAAAAAAAGAGAAAAAAGAAAAGTAGCATGACTATGCAATATATTTACTTGTTATTGGATACCACTGAGTTGAATCAAACTCATACCTCTGATATTGTTAAAATATCAAAATGATCAAAATATTGTTCTATCCTAAACTATTTTCACTATCTCTGTTATGCTCAAGTCCATTGCTGCAATCATTGTCAATCATCTCACTGAGGGTCTTCTTCTCTTTCAATGACCCTCCACTTTTTCAAGTATGAGTTTTTTCATAAGTTCTGGTGCATCCTGACAAACTATGTGAGATGAAGTATCATCTGGTTGCACTTCATCAAGACAAACTTGTTTGGTTGGTCTTTATTTTCAGCCCATTGTATATTCAAACTCCACAATAAAGACATTGACTTTTCTTGGTCTTCCTTATTCATTGCCCAGCTTTCACATGCATGAAGCAACAGAAAACACCATC